AATCAGCGCCACCGCAGCACCACTGTTATTGTTATCGCCAACCGCCGCCTATGCCGCCGCCGCCATCATTACCGTCACATTCACCGCCGACACGCGGACGTCATCTTGTCACCGTCGATGCCAGCATCAGCGCCGTGATTGGCCTTGCCAGCGCCGTCGTCGCCATCGTCACCATCATCGCTATGATCATCATCTTTGCCGCCTCTGCCGACATCCTCATGATATCGCGTCCGCCCGAGCTACCGGCCCGCACAGAAGAGCCCGCGCGCAAGCGCGACCATTGAGACGCGCTGGGAATTCCCCATCGGCCGATCGGTAAGCGCCAGCGCGGCCGCATTAGCTGTGCCAAACCAACTGGTCGCTCTCCGCGCGACCGCGCGCGCGCCAGCGCGGCCGCAGAGGTACGCTAGCAAGTGCAAAGCAGCAACCACAATCGTAGCCACATGGGTTCTGCCAACAAGATGCGGGTGGGGGGGTGGGATGCTTGCGCGAGCAGCGGATTTATAGCTCACTAGTGACTTGGATTCTCTTTTCTAAAAGACTAATAGATTCTACCCCCCCCCGGACTTATCGGTTCCCCCGTGCGTGCTGTAAATCATAAATATGATTCTGACCACATGTCCATCCTAAATATGAATTCATACCATCCCAGCCAAGCCGGGTTCCCCCCCCCTGCGGTTCCCTTTCAAATAACACTATGCGGGGACATTTTTCTTTCTAACATAACACTTTTTCGCGAATCCCTTGCAAAAAACGAGACGAAGTGCACACGCGCGCGTCGTCGCGCGCGCATGCCGAAATCCTTCAAAAACCTTTGGTGCCGGAAGGATTTCGCAATCGAGTTTCCGAAAAACATACAAAAACACATGGTTTCGCAACACTGGCTTGCTAAAAAAACTTCCGCGCGAGCTCTTGCGAAATCAAGATTTTCACAAAATGCTACCAAACGGGCTTCGCGCGCGCATGTCGAAATCTGTCGAACGCCCTTGCGCGTGTGCCGTCGCGAGAATCCTCTGCAAAAAATGGAACGAAGTGCAGACGCGCGCGTCGTCGCGGACGTATGCCGAAAACCTTCGAAACCCATCGGTTTCGGAAGGATTTCAAAATCGTGCGTCCAAAAAACCTACAAGAACCCAAGGTTTCGCAACACGGATTTTCAACAAAAGCGTGCGCGCGCGCTCTTGCGTCGTCGTCGTCGTCGTCGTCGCCGTCCTCCCTCCTCCCGCGTCGTCGTCGTCGTCGCCTACGTCGTCCTCTGTCTTTTCTCCTGTTTGTCGTCGTCGTCCTCTTTGGCGTCGTGGTCGTTTCCATCGTCGTTGTCGCCGTGGTCGTCCTTCCTCCTCCTCCCACGTCGTCGTCGTCGTCCGTCGTCGGCGTCTCATCGTCGTCCCTCCTATGTCGTCGCCGTCGTCGTCGTCGTTGTCGTCGTCGTCTTCCCTCCTCCCTCGTCGTTGTCGTCGTCGGCGTCGCCGTCCTTCCTCCTTCGTCGTCGTTCGCGTCGTCACCGTCCTCCCTCCTCCTTCGTCGTTGTCGTCGTTGTCGCCGTCGTCGTCCTTCCTCCTTCCTCGTCGTCGCCTTCGTTGGCGTCGTCGTCGTCGTCTTCGTCGTCGTCGGCGTCGGCGTCGTTGTCGTCGTCGAAGTCGTCGGAGACGTCGTCGGTGTCGTCCTAGTCGTTGTCGTCGGTGTCGTCGCAGTCGGTCTTAACAGGTTTTGCAAACCAAGTTGCGGGTGGGTGGGTGGGATGTTTGCGCGAGCAGTGGAGAAGACAACTTCAAGTTCAGCAAATTAATTGCACCACGTAGACTGCACCACAGAGAACGCATGCACCACCTGCACCAGAGGTTTGCTCTTGGCGCCAGACCGGATGAAGATATGTGTATGTGTATATATATATATACACACACACGTCTGCAACCCCCCGGGCAAACGTACACTTTCAACAAGCGCACCTCGTTTCAGCCAACAGCGTCCACAACAGGCCAAGTGGCCGCCAAGATCGCGCCGAGCCGGCCCAGAAGACCACCAAGAGGACCCCAAAAAAATCTGCCCAAAGAGCGCCCCAGGGGCCGCCCGCCCTGGAGGCGCCCCAGGGGCGGCACAGGAAGGCCCCGAGAGAGCCCCATGGGGCCCCCCTGGGAGGGCCCCAAAGAGAGCCCGAACTCCCCCGAGACGGTCCAAGGAAGCCGCAGGCCGACCCAAGAGGGGCCACGGGACCCCCAGAAGGCCCACGTCGACATCGCCCCTCGTCCAGCGGTCGGCTGAATGGCGCAAGCCTCTCGGATATACGCATGCACATACATGAATACGTGCATACATGCATAGATACATGCATCCATACATACCTGCATACATACCTGCATGCATGCATGCATGCATGCATGCATGCATGCATACAAACATACATAGATACATACACACATACAAACATGCATACATACATGCTTACATGCATACATACATACAGACAGACATACAGACTGACAGACATACAGACAATACATGCATACAGACATACATACAGAAATACATGCATGCATGCATGCAGGCAGGCAGGCAGACAGACAGACAGACATACGCAAATGTATACGGATACGTGTCTAACGATCTCACCCTCTGTAAAACATGTGAGTATGTTGGTCTGGCTGCCTAACGAGCTCACGAACTATTGATACCACTGGGAATCTACCGATCAGACGATGTCCCGGTCCCACGATCGATGTGTCAATTTCCCCACCGATCTGTAGATCAATGCCACTACCAATGCACAAGTTCGTCTCACGATCTGCCGGTCGCACGATGGATCGCTCGACAACCACGGGACATCCACTGGACGACGACGGGACAACCACGGGACAACCACGGGACAACTACAGGATAATTATTATAATTACCCTAGCGACAACCCTTCGGGTGATGAGGAAATTGTCGGGGGGGACGAAACCAACGTCTCACTCCATGGATCCCACCACGATCTCACTATCAATCTCACTAGCTACCGCGCTCACTATTGATCTCACTGTCGATCTCACGATCGATCTCTCGATCTCACTCGACTGATCTAACTCTACCGATCTCACTCGAACGATCTAACTCTATCGATCTCACTCTAACAAACTAATTAGATCGATCTCACTATCGATCTCACCAACGGGACACCGACAGGACACTCACGGGACAACGACGGTACACCGACAGTGCACCGACCGGACACCGACAGGACACCGACGGAGCACCGACGGGACGCCTCGGGCCACCGACGAGGACACCGACGAGACACCGACGGGACACCACGGCAGGACACCACGGCGGGGCACCCCGGGCCACGCCGGCCCACGGGAGGGGCGGTCTTCTGTCTTGCCACGCCCTAGCCATGGCGGGGTCACTCCTCTCGCCAGCCGATGCAGCTTCGCCTCGCCCGCACGCACGACACGAACCCGAAAGACTGTCCGTTCCACTTCGATCTCACCCCCCCAAACCTCCGACGGAACAACCACGGGACAACTAACGTGACATCTCTCGGAGCAGCCATCGGGACAACCATCAAGACAACCATCGAGACAATGACAATCATGGGGACAACAATCGAAAAAAACACGCGACAACCATTAAGACACCCATCGGGACAATCATCGGGACAACCGTCAGGACCTCCGGCAGGACAACCATCGAGACAACCATCGGGACAAAAATCGAGACAAGGATCGAGAGAACAATCGGGTAAACCATCGGGACACCCGTTGGGACAACAATCGGGACAACCATCAGGACAACCATCGGGGCAGCCATCGGGACAACCCTCAAGACAACCATCAGGACAGCCATGGGGACAACAATCGAAAAAATACGCGACAACCATTAGGACACCCATCAGGACACCCATCAGGACAATCATCGGGACAACCTTCAAGACATCCATCGGGACAGCCATCGGGCCAACGATCGGGACAAAAATCGGGACAACGATCGAGAGAACCATCGGGTCAACCATCGGGACACCCGTTGGGACAACCATCGGGACAACCATCAGGACAACCATCAGGACAACCATCGGGACAACCATCGGAATAACCATTGCGTCCACCATCGGGACAACCGTCGGAGCAGCCGTAGGGCTAACCAGCTGATCAACATTCAGAACAGCAACGGAACAGGCACTGGGACAACCATGGGACATCCCACAAGGCAACCATCGGAACAACCGAGGGACAACCACGGAGAACCGCGAGACAACAGCGGGGCAACCCCACGCACGCCCCGGCTCCAGCGGACGGGGTACCAACTCATTGTTTTGGACGACCTAGGCCTAGCCTATGCATGAACTCGCGCAAATTCGCCTCGCCCGCAAGCACAACATGAATCGAAAACGGAACCGATGGCCTGGTCGGGCGAGTCGGTCTCACTTCGGTCTCAACCCCTAATCGCCGATGACTCATCCAGAGTTCAATAATGCTCTGTCTGGGGTCCACGCTGGCAAAGATCTAGCTTCACCTGTTGTGCACCATTCGATTGTGTGTTGCTGCTTCGATGTTCGAGTGGTGTTCGCTGCTCTGACGGAGATTTGTAAGTTGCTCAACGCTGCCTGCAATCGCGACTGCCGAGAAGCCTTGACCCGAAGATGCACGTCTGGCCAACGCATGTCGCTTCTGGAACGCATGCACGTGCCAACGGTATCGCGAACATGTGTCGACACGGCCATTTAGTGGCTACACGGCAGAGGTGCGACATCGCCGACTCGCCCTGCGATGGCCCAGCTTGCAGGCAAGAAAAGCGGTACGCAAGTGCGTGCGAAGAGGGCAAGGTAAAACAAACAAGGGGAAATAGGAGATCGGGCAAGAGGACGTCTGCTGTGACAGGGGGTACGCATGACGCCGCATGGCACGACTGGGCACCATCCGCAACGGTTGATGCTGAGGAGCGGTGGAAGGAGAGTGCGAGATGACAAAGTGCTGAACGATGACAGTGAGAACGCGCCCCATGACACGCGGCACAACATCGAGGACTTTTCTTGCTGCGAAGCCCGGCCGTCACCTTTCATCTATGGGACTCGCGGGGTCACGGAAGTGGACCATGCGAATATTTGAGGATCACACGCAAATCCCACCAGCCCTTTGGGCGACAGGTGGTCTAACGATGACTTTCTTTCCTCTTCCAACATCGCCTCTTCCCCTTCGGGGAGGGGTTGATCACTGTTCCCTATTAATATACACCCCCTCCCCCAGGCGACTGGGAGCCAACCAGGGACAATGCGGGCACCCCCCCACCATCCCTTGTACAAAAAATACAAACACACTCTCTGCCTCCAAACTCGGAGCATGCGCAGCGAACCCGATGCGGCCTCCCCTCACCATCCCTGTCAAAAAACAATCCAGAGTACACTTGGCGGCTGCGGCGGCTGCGGCGGCTGCGGCGGGGGCAGCGGCTGCGGCGGCTGCGGCGGTGGCGGCGGCGGTGGCGGGGGCGGCGGCGGCGGGCGGCGGCGGCGGCGGCGGCGGTGGCGGCGGCGGCGGCGGCAGCGGTGGCGGCGGCGGCTGCGGCGGCAGCGGCTGCGGCGGCGGCGGTTCGGCAGCGGGGGCGACGGCGGCGGCGGCGGCGGCGGCGGACGGCGGCGGCGGGCGGCGCGGCGGCGGCGGCGGACAGCGGCTGCGGCGGCGGCGCGGCGGCGGCGGCGGCGGGCGGCGGCGGCGGCGGCGGATTCGCCCCCAGTAGCTGACCATCCAAAGACGACTGCTGAATATGCTGCGGCTCGGGCCAGGCTCGGGTGCTACGTATGTGTTGGGAGGGCCGGTGGGAGTGAGCGAGACGGCTTGCGGGCGGGGAGGGAATCTTGACCCCTCCCCCTACCCCCTCCCCTGGACCTGTACGGGGGCGGTCGTGAGCGGTCAGAGGCTCCTTTGTCGGCCCCTGGGAGGGCCAATGTCTGACACCCCTCACGAGAATCGTGGTCTCCGATGGGGGAAGGCAAATCGAGGACCCCCCCTCATTTGACCGACCGCCTCCAAGATGCCCCAAGATGCCCTCCAAGGCTCCCAAGAGGCCGCCAAGGAGGCTCCAAGAGCGCCCCAAGAGGCCCCAAGAAAGCTCCAAAAGGCACCCGAGAGGCACCCAAGAGGCCCCCGAGCGGCCTCAGAGAGCCCAAGATGACCTCCAAGATGGCTCAGATAGCCCAAGCTGGCTCAAGATGTCTCCCAAGATGCTCCAAGCGACCCCAAGGCCGCTCCAAGACGGCTCGAGATGGCCACGGAGCCTCCCGAGCCTCCCTCGCTACTCTCATGGGCGTCGTTTCTGGATGGGCTGGTGGGGATAGGCGAAGCGTCAAGAATACAGGAGGAGAAAACAGCCCCCTCAGCGATCGCTGTCAGCTTGAAGAAAAGCCTGCAATATCTCTCGTGCTGACACAGACGCTTTCCTCCTGGGCGCCGCCTCTTTACTATCATCCACCCACCGCTATCTCCGTATATCCCCCGCCTTACGAAAAAAAGCCCAAGCATGCATACACATCTCCGCGTACAAGCACACGCATGCCCAGGGCGGCCCCGATCGAACATTGATCAACGATTGGTTTGACCGAATCTGCAATCAAACCGGACCGCTTTGGAGGGGCAACGCACCTTGCACTGGGGGACAAGCAACGCACAGAGCTACAAGCCCAAGGGATCGACTCCCGCAGCCCAGAGATGCGTGACACACCGCCTACTTGGCTACGGAGGTGGGGCTGGATGCTGCGGCACATGTGCGAGGCCCCTGTCAGAAAACGACCCGAGGAAGAGGAGGAGGAGGAGGAGAACAGAGGAGGGGCAGGAACTAGGCAGGAGGCGAAGCAGCGGCAGGGTGCGGCGGGTGAGCGGCGGGAGGAGGAAGGAGAAACGGAGCGGAGGAGGGCGAGGGAGCACAGGGACGAGGACCCCGACGAGGAGGACCTGGCAGCGCCCGCGCCGCTCGCCCCGCGGGCTCCCCGGGCCGGGACCCCGGGGGCCCGTGGAGCTCGCGCCGAGGGCGACGACCACGGCTGCAGCCACGCGCCTGCGGCCGAGCGGCTGCAGAGCCCCGAGGCCGGCCGCGGGACGGCTTCGGCAGAGGGCCTGGCCATGGCCATCGCTGGGACGTCCACTCCCTGAGCTTTTTGTCGTCTTCGTGCGCGGTTGTTCCGCCAAGCGATCCATGACGAACCAACAACATACACCCATACCCATAGGGGGATCGGAGAGGGCTATGGGTGCGTGTTGTCGGATGGGGGTCCCCGCTCGAACGGGAGCGTTCCCCAGGGTCCGACAACCCGCACCCATACCCATAGCCAGTCCTCCTCCCAACGACCCCCCTATGGGTACTCCAGATTTCGTAATAAAAGGGAGGGGGTCTCATTTCGAGGAGGGTCTCTTCCAGGCTATCTTGGAGGGCCTGGGGGGGTCTGGGGACGATGTTTTGGAGGGTTCTCCCAGGGGGGGGGGGTCTAAAACTTCTCGTCTGGGAGGGTTGAGACCCCCTCCCTTTTATTACGAAATCTGGAGTATGGGTGCGTGTTGTCCGTTCGTCATCGCGGCGGCCCCCTGCGGGCCCGGGGCGGCCACGGAGGGGCCAAATAAAAGGAGGCAGGGGCGGTCGGAGGGGGGCCGGGCACGGGTCGGCCACGGGGGGGGCCGGAGGCTCACGGAGGCAGCGCCGAGGGGGTGCACACGAAGGCTCACGAAGGGGCTCAAAGGCTCACGAAGGGGCTCGAAAGGAGGCAGGGGCGGTCGGAGGGGGGCGCGGAGCACGGGTCGGCCACGGGGGGGGTGCCGGAGGGCTCACGGAGGCAGCGCCGGGGGGGAGTGCACGTCAGGGCCACGACCGCTCCAGGACGTGGACAGAGATCCAACAAAAACCCGACAAAAATTCGGCAGAAAAAGACTTTGACCAAAATCCGAAACAAAAGCTCTTGTGCGATTGGGTCATGCAGGGAAGATTCCGTGCGAGCAGCCTCGTTTCCACACTCGCGGTGGGATGTGGAAACGTCGGGGGGGGAGGGGGGGCAAAATCCGGAGTGGCCAAGCACGATGGAAGCGATCGAGAAGATGGACGCATGGGGAGCTTGGCGGTCAGAGCACGACACGCTTTTGCATCTCCGCATAATGTAGAGGCAGCTGCCCCCAAGTCCGAGACCGTCCCGTACCAGACTGTCTGCGCCGAGCAGCCGACACACCCGGGAGCACCACGGAGCAAGCCGACTGATGCAGACGCCCAGGCCACGCAGCCTGGCCGCTCGGCAAGGTGGAGGAGGAGGAGGAGGAGGAGGAAGAGGAGGAGGAGGAGGAGGAGGACACAAGGCAGTTTGGCAACACTCAGGGAGCACATTGCTGCGCTCGGAGGAGGAGGAAGAGGAGGAGGAGGAAGAGGAGGAGGAGGCACAGCGTTCCCCTAGGAAGAGGAGGAGGAGGAGGAAGAGGAGGAGGAGAGGAGGAGGAGGAGGAGGAGGAGGAGGAGGAGGAGGAGGACACTACAAGGCAGTTTGGCAACAGTCAGGGAGCACATTGCTGCACTCGGAGGAGGAGGAGGAGGAAGAGGAGGAGGAGGAAGAGAAGGAGGAGGAGGAGGAGGAGGAGGAGGAGGAGGAGGAGGAGGGGGAGGGGGAGGAGGAGGAGCGCACGTAGCTGGGAAGACAGTGTCACAGCTACTGCACAGCACTAGCCTCGCATAGCGGCTAATGCAGCAGATCGTATCTGGTAATGGTATGAAGTCGTGGCAGCCTGCGGCCGCCGCGCAAGGTCCGCTTTCAGTTTATGGTAAATGTGAAAGCTTAGGACTACGATTCGGTGACATCGTAAACGTGGATATTCGATCTCGCGATCGGGGTGGGGGCCGAGCCCCAGACGAGTGAGAGGACAAGAAGGGAGGACTCCACGAGGAAGGGCGAGGAGATGGAGGAGGCGGGGGCACTGGAGATAATGGGCGAACGAATCGGGGGCACGGCACCCGAAAAGACATGAGGCCTCGGGCGCACTCGGAACGCTGGTCGAAGTCGTCCAAGCTCCGGCCAACGTCTTCAGGTGGGCCCATGCCGACGAAGGGGGGGATCGGGCAAGAATCGCCTTTAAACCACCCCACCGAGCCTCAAGATCAGCCGGCAGCAGCGGCTGGAGGTCGGGGAACCACGAGGAAATACGACGATGCAGCAAGGTGGGGAGGGAATCGGGGAAGAGCGAAGCCTCGAGGGAGGAGGAGAGGATTCGCTGCGGTCGCGGGCGGCGCTCCTCGGTGGCGGCCGCCGTCAACTCCGCCCTCGCCGCCGCTGCCGCTGGGGCCCAGGCCTCAGGGGCCCTGAACGGAGTACCATCTCCAGGAACTCGGCGATCGAGCTCCGACGCTCCCAAATCTCTGTCGCGAGAGCCCCCGAGGCCCGGCTGCCGAAAGAGCCGTGCATTTCGGCGTGGCCGCGGAACAACTCAAGGCTCTCCCCCCGTCCGCCCACCCCGTCCCGCCGAAGAGTGTGAGCCGCCGTCCGCCAGCCTGAACTGCCGGCCAGGACTCGGCGCGAGCGAGGGACCGCCGATCGCAGCCAGGACCTGATCCCCAGGAGCTCAGTCAGGCCAAAGGAATTGGGAGGGAGGCGGAGGAGACGGTGAAGGACGTGACGCTCGGAGTGGAGGAGCGAGGGAGAGGGGGGAGGGAAAGGCTGGTAACATAGCTGAGCACTGAGAGAATCCCGAAATTATACATCCTGCAGCTGGCCTCAGCGGGTGCCCGGCTCAGGGCCACCTCTGCCGCTCTAGCTGTCCATTTGGCCGCTGGGCTCAGCCATTGGGATGAGAGCGTGGCGGCGGGACCGAATTGGAAGCCTAAGAATTCGGTGGCGCCTTTAACGCGGAAGTCTCCCCATTCTGGCACAAGGGTGAAAAGAGACGAACGAACTCGCTCGACGACTTCGGGGCAACATCTCTCAGCCAGCGGAACAAGGCAGCATTTGGAGGGCTGCAAGACCAGGCGTGCGAGACGACGGGCGGCGACGAACGCGGGCCTGAGGAGAGGGAGGAAGCGAATCGAAGGGAGGGCGGCGCCCACGTCGTCAGCCGTCGCTCCGCACTCAGGTTCTAGCCCAGGGCACCACCGTTCGGGGGCGGGGCACATACTTCGGGCCATCGCAGAACCCAGAGAGGAAGCCATGTCCCGCAGAAAGGGGTCCATGCAGAGGGCCCAGATGGTCCTGGAGAGCGGGCAGCCCTGGGCAACACCTGAGGTCACCAGGAAGAGGGGGATCCTGGCCGCTCCACAGCGGGAGTGGGCGAGAGCCCCAGAATACAACGATCGAACAACGTTCAAGTACCCCTGCGGGAGGCGATGGCGAGCAAGCACGCGATGAAGAAAGAGCTGGGAGAGCGAGGGAAAGGCAGCGCGGAGGTCGAAGGAGACGAAGAGAGGGAGAAAGGATGGATGGTGGCTGCATGCACGCGCCCGCGCATCCTGACGCACCACGTGCATCAGGAAGTTGCGGCCACGAATGAACCCAAGCTTGCTAGCATGGGCGCGCGAGGCGGTCAGAGGCGCCAGCATCTGGTTCGCGGCAGCCGCGACAGCTTTCGCGTCGCAGCTCTTCAGGCTGAGCGGCCGCACCTTCTCTGCCGCTCGGATCGTCTCCATCACGTCGTCCGTCTCCGCGCCCTTCGGGATGAAGGCCACGTCCGAGAAGTTGAAACCCCATGGCGCGGGGGCGCCACGGAAGAGGCCAAGCATGAGGTCGTGCAAGATCTCGGTGAGGCGATCGTCCGCCAGCCATGCCCGCGCTCGGAGCCGATCGGGACCAGGTGCCGTGGGGCGAACACGTTGCAGAGCTGCTCGAAGGCCGTGCAGTGATGGTACCTCGAGTTGCGGCTGCTCGTAGTCAGGCAGTTGCTGGGCGAGGTAGGCGTCGATGGCCGCCGTCAGCTGGGCATCATCCGCAAGCGGCTCAGCCGTGAAGATGGGCTGCCAGTAGTGGCGCAGCGCGTCCAGCATCACGAGAGGGTCGCGCTCGATGGAGGCCCGGTGCCCCTCGCCGTCGGCGCGGATGCCGGCAAGGACCAGCTGCCGCCGATAGGGCACCCATAGCAGGGCACGACGCTGCGCCGCGCGCTGCATCTTGCGAAGCTGGAACTCCGACGGGCCATCCGCCCCCTGCCGGGCGCGAGCCTCCTCGCGGAAGCGCGCGGCGGCAGCAGCCTGTTGGCGTTCGTGCCAGGCGAGACGCAGTAGGCGACAGTCCTCCTCGAAGGCCGCGGGGTCGCTCAGGAGGACCTGCGGCGTGGGCTCGGTGCCGTCCTCCGTCAGCCGACTGATGTGCAAGTGGCGACCGCCGAACGCGGTGCCGTCGATGAGGCGCTGAGCCAGTCGGAAGTCTTGTCGCCAGATGGCTCGGGCCACAGCGCGGGCGGAGATCCGTCGCCCTTCAGTGGCCTCCCCGTCGGCATCGCCTATCGGGAGGGCCTGCATCTCGTTCCGTGTGAGACGCGCGGCCTCCACCATCTGGGCTTTGGCCTCCCTCCAGCGGTTCTCCACGGCCAGGCCCGAGAAGTCGGAGTGGTCGAGCAGCGCCTTGACATGCTTAGCAAAGCGCGGGGACGCGAACAGGTCCGCAGGGATGGCGCGATCCTGAGGCGCCGCTGGTGCACGTGGCTGGAGCTTCAGCTGGATGATGGCATGGTCACTCAGCCCCCAGTCCGCCAGGGAGGCCGCCTCCTGCCAGATCTCGAAGGTGATCGTGGTGTCCAGGACGTAGTGGCTCTGCAGAGAGACGAAGGCGCGGTCGATGAAACTGCAGGTCTGGTGATGCTTCGAGTAGTGGGTGGGCAGCTCGCACGAGATCTCGAGGAGATCGCGCTGGAAGAGGCTGCGCCAAAGCCTTGTGCCTGGTTGCCCCGGTGCCAGACGGAGTGGCTGTTCGATCGAACGGCGCGCTGACGAGCAAGAAAATTCAGGTTTCGACCCCCCCCCCTTGAGGAACCTTGTGGGGGGGTTTTACCATGAGACCCTGCTGAGCCGTCGTCAGATGAAGTGGTGGAGCCAACGCTGGAAGGCGACGAACCCGATGAGGTAGCCGAGGAGGGTGAAAGCGTCGCGGCCGACGGGGTGGGACGAGCAAGTGCGACAGGCTCCCGGTCTGCGATGTTGAAGTCGCCGATGGCGATGAAAATGCGGCGGCGCGCGTCCTGGCGGGCCCAGGCCGCCCTGCCCGTGCAGCGCGCCCTGATGACAGGCAGCGCCTGCGGCGGGAGAGCATGATTATGCACG